CGCACTTTTCCTTTTGATGATGCATCTGGCAGCTGTCATGTCAACAAGTCAATGAATGTTGTCGAAGAGTTATAATAATTCTGCATGAAACTCAACAATCATGACTAAGTATTTCATAGAATAAAAATAGACATCGTCATTTTTTTCTTATATCATTAAAATAAAATTATTACATTGATATTGAAAATAGTCACATCATTATATTGATATTTAATTTTTGATTCAATAAGTCTTTGGATAATACAGAAGAATAATGCATTATATTCCGTTTTATATACAGAGTGTAAAATAAGCTGTGATTCTTTCATGGAATATTATTTTCTCATATGTTTCTGTATTTACTAAGACTGATACTCATAATACACACATGATAAAGATTTTTGTGTTATCTTTGATATCACCATGGATGAGAAAACTTGTAATCATTTAATTATTCACTCACTACAGAGTAATATTTGCTTTTTTATCCGTAATTATTTCATTTTGTAATTTGTCTACGTCATTGTGAATGGAAAGAAATTCTATGATCTCTATATCTCTGGTGATAGTCAGAATATACGAAGGAATTACATGATAAAGACATTGACGATGCAGAAATAGTTAATGCAAAATTTGCTGATACTTGGTCAATTGAGAATGTATCAGGTGCAATCTAAGAAAAACTGAAACATGAACAATTTGATATTATTTATTTAAAATAAATTCGATTTGTAAATGTCCTTTCGATTAGTACCTTGTATATCACATTACTAATAAAACACAAAAAAGATTTTTTCATAATTTTGATATCTCTTCTGTATCTGTAACAATAATAAGCAAATAGCTTAAGTTTTAGCATAGAATTTGATCTAGATATCTAATGTATATACTATAAATATTAGCCTTGGGCAATACAAAAACATGTGACAAAAAAACAATATTATAGGAGAGGAGTCAAAGTTTATTTTACAACTTTTAATTAAGATATGTTTTCATTATCTTTATAAAAAATCAAACATTGTTTTCTTTTTCGATAGTCTGAAAAGATTAGTAATATTACTTCAAAGAAACTATGTCATAACATTCTGTATTATTATTATCATCTGTTTATCTTTCGTACATTGTATCTAAAAAAAAATAGCATATATTCGTCAACATTTTTCAAGGATATACACAATGGATAATAGTTAGAAACTTGACAGCTACATATGATATTAATAATAGCGTAGTTTTCAAGAAATCATTTTCAGTTTAGCATAAGTTTAATAAATTGGTCTCACATTCATTTTTTTTTTCTATTGCAATAACATCAGACGAACAGGATTAAATCATCTTAAAAGCATAGATATCGTTCTTAATATGTATACATCAGAAAGATGATGATAGATGTTTCTAAGAATTGCTCATATAGTAATCATATATATCACCATTTATTTTATAATTCGCACCATGTGTGTCTTCAATATTATCAATCAATATTATGCTGATTCACCAAATATGAAGTTTTTTTTTTTGTATTATTCAGATGTTTAGCATTTATCTTGATCAAATATGAGTACAAATAACATTTGTTTTTCATTTGATCAATCAATTATATGTTAAAAATAAAATAGATATATTCGATTTTGATCAAGAAAACAACATAATATACATGAGTTGAAGTAGTACAACACTTTAAAATCAATATAATTATCCGATGAACAACATAATTTAGTTTATCTTGTCTATTTGCAAACATCATTATTTCTTAATTCAAATCGTCTCTTCTCATTAATACCGACAACAACAATTACTAGCGAGCTCGACAACAATAATATGTGTTATTCAACTTATTTAATCACCGAAAAAAAGAAAAACAAAACTTATTTTCATAACACTACTACTACTACTACTACTACGATTTAACATGTTACTCTATTTCGGAATACATGTGTAACCGAGTTGGTTTAAATTTGATAGAAATTGTCGATCCTATATTTTCTATGAAAATGTGTTACCGTCTTGTGTGCTTAATTAATCTACGGCCGAATACACATATCTATTCTTCCTGCCAAGGGAAATAAATACAATAAGAGAAAAGAAAGCGAAGAGGGATTGTATCGGACGAGTTTTTTTCTATTTGTATATATATCGGAGAGAAAGAGAGAATACTCTATCTTTGATAGCTAAAGTAATTCTAACAATCTTCAGTTGTTTGTTACGAATAGTCGACAGCAAAACAAAGCAAGAAAACTAAAGCATAGATAAATATATATATATATAAAGAAAACTAACTACTATACAGAAATTTGTCGTTGTTTTGGTTTTTGTGCATATTTATTTTATAATAAAGTACAATATATTCAAGCAAGTATTATATTGTAGCATTATTCAAATAATTATAATATAATTCATTTAGTATGGATCTTAGACGTACAATTATCATTCTTATGGCTTTAGCTGCCTTGATAAATATAATTGGTGTCATTCACTGTCATATTGATTATCCTAATACTTCAACATTGCCTATATATCGCACGAGCTATACCATTATATGTCCTATATGCAAGTTAAATAGAATATCGTTTGAATAGAATATGTTCTTTTCTTTGTGTTTAAATATAGTATTAAGTTTGACTGTTTTTCTTCTGATCGAACAGTTGATGATTACAGATGGAACAGTTGCACCGCTCAATCGTCTTCGAACTATTTATGCTTTTGTTGCTGCTATTGCTCTTTTTATTTTTGGTATCGGAGCAGCAATTGTAGCTAGCAGTTGGTATAATTCTGCTGCACAAGATGCTTATCATCATAGTAAGATTTATTTTAATATGATATGAAACTAACAAAAGAAACGATTGTTCTATTAGGTGCAGTTATTGCTTCTGTGGTTGCTTTTGTTGGTATGACAGTTTATTTTGCAGAAGCTTTGGCTCGTAACCGCAAGAGTCGTATCATCTAAATCATGTACATTTAATGAAATAATAAGAAAAACAGAAACAATAAAGACTAATTATTTGTCGTAAATATATATATATATACATATATCTCCTCAACTATTATCATATTTAGTAACAATTGTTCTGAATATTTTCTTGATCGTACTATATTTTATTTTGCATATCAAGGCGTTTGTTCATATGCATAACGAATTGTTCTTTTGTTTGAAAAAAAAGAAATTTATTGAATTTTGATTTAAATTTTATGAAATTTGGTTGCTGATATAACATTGAAGAAATGGACAACTAATAATAAATGGTCGAAAATATTTTACAACGACTCAACTTTCCATGATTGAAATTTATTTAAAGATGAGAAATCATAGAGAAAAAAAATTGCTGTTATTTTTGTAATAAATACACATATAAAAACTTCGAATCAACTGTTATAGACATTAGTTAACAAAATACATGTTTTCATAAAGAATTATTCTATCTATGATTAATTCCATTTATGACCTGCGTAGGATATACAAATCCAAATGGGTTTAGTTTTTGAACTTTGATAAATTTTCTTTGTTTGTTTATAATGGGATTTTGTTGATTTTTCGAACATACATCAATCAATTGACTACATTGATGTTAATGATGTGTTAATGATGCCTTGCTCGTGATTCTATCAGATAATAACCCGTGTGCATCGCAAAAGAGAATTCTATTTTTGGCAGAGATCAATACAAATAAAAATCATTATTCAAACTTGATTACAAGTTTTAAGACAACATAGATTTTATTTTAATCAAAATGCAATCTTCGCTTCATAATCTCATCGTGTTGAATCTAATTATGAATACATCAAAAATTCAAATAATGATAAAATCGAAATCTTTAGAGGATATTTTTATTTTATTATGGCATAAGATTTAGTTCTAAAAATAGTATAAAAACTGACTCATACTTACAGATATATATATGTATATATATATATATATGTGTGGGAGTATCCCATCAGCTAGGATTTCTCAACTATTTTTTCTTCTATAGCCTCATTTATATATCAGAAAAGTCTAATTTTTGCACTAGTTATAGTATAACCATAATGCTCATCATTTTTTAAATTCAAGCACTGCTTCTTGTAAATAACTGATGCAAAAATCAGACTATTCTGATATACGGTTGAAGTTCTAAGAGGAAAAAAGTTGTTAGTGCAATTCTTGCGGGATTAAAATGTGAAGCACAATATAGCTATTACTGACAATTACAAGAAAATTGTTTTATTCAATCTATTTTGAGACACATTTCTTTACTGTCGTTTTAATTAATCCTCTAGAAATGTAATACGGAAGTAGTTCACATATTATTACAAGACATTACTGACAGGCAGTCTATAATTGCATATCAACAATATCTGTCACTGTCTGTGGGAGGGTTCAAATTTTTACACCTATACTTCAACACTTCTTTTAGATAGTGTTTTACAAAATCACCACAAAATCTGAGCTGATTGAGAGCAACCTTCATTTATGTAATTCAAAACAAGCATTAACATTTTACCATATCTTACATCATCCTTAGAAAGTCAAGATTAATTATGAATCATATCCGCTTCCATCATTCTCTTCAACAGGATGTTTCAGAACATGTAATTTTATCAAAGACTGATGTGCATTAAAAAAAAATAAGGAAAGAGCCTCTTAATTAAGTAAATCGAAAATATGAATATTTTCAACAAAGATCGAGAAACATATAAAATTATTTATCAAAAGAGTATGTCACTGATATTTTATATGCGTTATGTTGGTTTTTTTTCTTTTCAAATATAGATTTATACAAGAAGATAATAAAAAAAAACAAAGTTTCCTAAAAAAAAAACAACAAAAAACTGAACACAAATATAAAGTGGTTTTTCTTTTCTATATACAATCTGCCATCACCAGGAGCAAAATAAAGAAAAAACGTCGCATAATTAGTTTAATAAACATTCTTATTTTATCGACGGAATGCACGATCAAACATTTGACTAGACTAACCATAATATCGTGCTTAAACTCGACTAAAAAATCACTGTTGTCAATATGATGAACATATTTTTTTTTGTCTCATTTATACTAGATAACCTTCACTAGTCAATAATGATTTCGATGATATTAATAAAAGTTCGGATTGTATACGATCTAAACTATCTAATAGACGAATTTGTTCATCATGTGTAACATTATTACCAATAAAAATCTTTAAATCTGATGAATTAAAATGACATATTTGTGAAAGATTTGTATAACCAGCATTAATGAATATACATATTAAACGATCAAGTTGAAGATTATGAAGCCAATCAATAATTGATGTTACTTGAGTAATATTGGGTTGATCTGGATGATTGACAAAGATGAATCTTTAATATAAAAATTATCGGATTAAATTTTTCTTAAATATAAAACATTTTTTTCTATGAAATATAAGTTCATTATGACCGTTGGAATTGTTTCATGTGTTTCTTTTAACTGTGTAATATTATGCATTCATTATTAGTGTTCCAGGTCAAATAAATACAGTCGTTAATGACCGTTAGGTAGGCGCAGTATTACTACGACCGTACTTCTCTGCGTTACAAACGATCAAATACTCGACTTTCAGATCATTATCAACTGTGCACTATACGATAAAATATGATATCTTAATATCCCACCTACGAAACGTCAATTTACGACCACACACTGTATGAAACGACAGTATACAATACTGTTGTAGACCACCCGAGTGGCTGTTATTATCGTTGTGGGAGTGTCATTGCTATATAAGTATCAAATAGTTATTCTTAGAAAAATATTCTCGTTTGAATAATTCAATAGTTTCATAAATAGACTGATTTTTAGAGCCGTAATTTGAACTCCATATTTAATAGATTTATGCTGTGATAAATGTAAATGTTTTATGACATCACCTATCAGAAATATTTCTCCCGCTGACAATAATTATTATATGAATGAAAGTTGATTTTAATTAGAGTAGCGAATGATCGTAAAAAAGTAATTCGACAAAATGTAAATTCATTTTTGTCAGCTTCTTAAAGGAACTGGCAGAAAATTGAAAACACTAATCGACTTTTTAGAGAGGCAAAAATTAAGTATAGACAAGGCAAATTGACAATTTATGCAGCAATAATCTTTTGTACTGCACACATTATATTACCGGTTTGGTGTAGTACAATCTAGCAAGAGTGAGAAAGTATATAGGGTAGAAATCCTCACTTTCTAAGACTTGGACAGATATCTTATCAACACCATCTTCACAGTGTGCACCAAGGCGAACATTTGACTAAAAATAAAAAACACGTTTTTTCAAGGTTTACATATAAAGTTGCCTGAAAATTAATCTGAAAATCCTGAAGAGAAGCGGAAAAATTGATATCTGACAAAACTAAACTGTTGGGCAGAAAAATCAAGTACATTTTCTGAACCTCCAAGCTGAGGTCTATATAACGGTAAAAAATAATTTTTACTTTATATGTTTCATTTCTACGAAAAAAATACAATATGTTTTTCGGCAATGGCGTTCATTTGGCTACTCCTGAAACATAGGCAATTCACCTATATCCAACCTTCAGACCTCTCCAGAATGTCTTTCTATCTACTATCTCTAATCCTTGCTAGTGCCAATAATCCTTGCTGTATAGTGGATTTACAAAGAACCTAGGTTTTTCAGTTTTTCTTGCTTTGAAAACACATTTAATCGAGAAAAAATTCTATATTCAAAATCAACGCATTAAATTGCATAGAATGATTTGTAACAAAAAAAAAAAAACTTTGACAAAAAAAATTTCTGCGTCATAGCCAATCATTTCTGAGCAGAGAAATCCGTTTCCGAGCAAGAAACTCAATGTCCGCTTGCCATTCGAAAAAATGCACACTATACCCTGCGTGTCATAGACTTTGTTGATATACAATCAAAGACTATATTTGAAAAATGTTTCATTATAGTACACGAACTGTTTTCTTATTGTATTTCTGAAAGACTAAGTAAAATGAGAGTAAAGAAATCTGCCCAAAACAATATCTCTGTGGTTAGCAAGAGAAACTACATAGTAATTGACATTTTTATCCTACAGAAATTGTATTAACTGATTTTTTTTGCATAGAATTCAAGACGAAACTGTTCTATATAAAGTACTTTAAGAATCAAGAGTTTCAGACCAATTATTCGACATTGACCGACCTTATTTTGCAAGTCCGTTTTCCATAGAAATCCAGAAAACTGACACGGTGTATCTTATCGAAACAATTACTGGTAACCAATGACTTACACCAAACTAATCATAAGTATACTATTTTATAGAAAAATATTTGCTCTTTTATTCGCTGTATTTGAGATAATTCCCGTTTGTGCTTTAGATAAACCTTTGGCGTGCCAAACCTCATCCAAGCTCAATTTACAGATGTCGAAAAAGCAGTTTCAGAATTCTTAAATCAGACATCTTACGAAAATTTTGGAAGTCATAATTCTAGCTCAATGTTTTCAAATTTCTGCAGATTCTTTAATAAGCTGAAGAAAAATGAACGAAGGTTTTTTCAAATTACTTTTCGATCTTTCATTAAATAAATAAAAGATTAAAGTCTATAATCAACAGTCTCCTTACCTCTGTTTGGCTAGTGGAAAAAGTTGATTTGGTAATTGAATATATTGTGTTAACTGTTGTACAATATCACTAAACTTTGGTCGTTCTAAATATTGTTCATTCCAACATGCAAGCATTAATTTATAAAGTACATCAGGACAATTCTAAAAACAATAACATTTTCATGAAAAAAAATTTTTTTTAATGACGGACCATAGGTGGTGGAAGACGAAAAGAACTTTTAATTGCTTTAATCACATCTTGATTTGACCAATTCCAATATGGTCTTTCACCAAATGAAATAACTTCCCAACATAATACACCAAAACTCCATACATCAGATGCTGATGTAAATTTTCGATAATCAATTGCTTCAATAGCTGTCCAACGTATGGGAATTTTTCCACCTTTTGTTGTATAACTATCGTCTTCATCGATTTCACGACTTAAACCAAAATCAGCAACTTTACATACGAGATCTTTATTAACAAGAATATTTCGTGCTGCTAAATCCTATTAAACGGAAAAAAAGACACGACAATTTTTTTCAAATTAAAGTATAAATGTGCATAAGAGCCGTTTATGATCTATCTTCAGATTTGTTTATTTGCATGATTTGCTCGATGCAGAATATCATGAGGAATCGTTTGATAATAAAATAAAGCTATTTCCGAAGAGTCAAAACACATGCTTCTACATAGAAATATCAGACAAACGATGACCTATTGTTTATTATACGTTTAGTAAAAATCTCAGCTGGAACAGTTGAAGTGATGAAACATTGTTCGAAATGTGTATAAGAATCATTTAGTTCTTTGTTTACTTCTGCTAGCACAGAAAACTGAGTCCACTGATATGTGTTTCATACTTTTTCTTCATACTTTTTTTGCCTCAAAAACTTTAACTGAGGTCCTAGTCAGAACGCGAAAACAAAATGAAGTCAATCAAGATCTCCTTTGACCAAAGAAAAAAACAAGTTCTGATCATGTAGAATAATAATAGAGCATAAAAAAAAACAGATGACTATGCATTAACAATGGCAATATGACTGGCTTCATTTTTGGCTGAATTTTGACAGGGACCAGAGGTGAGTTTTTGAGGAAAGTAGAAGTTGTCCATGCCATTTAAAATATATAGATAGGTGAACTCAGTTGTTAATGTTTATTGCAAATGTTCTATTTGTTTTGACTGAAAAAGTAACGAATCTGATAAAAATCAGCAGATATCAATGAACACATGGCCACTTTCACTTATTTGAACAAAAGGATTTCGACTCTGAACATATGACTATACTTTTCAGACCAAATTATGCGTCGCCTTGTAGCTCTTGATGTACTCTACTAGCATTGAAATTTGGTGACATGATTTTTTATTTTCTGAGATATAAAGTTTTCAAGGTCGTCTAGTGATCATAAATCCATCGCTTTGGATTGCTCAAGCATTCTTGTTCACTCATTCTCGGTTCAACAACAGATCGATTATTTAATGTTTTGGTACCAAAATGAGGCTCAAGTCATGTTTTATTGATCACACTATGATTGAGCTTATAGGCTAATGACACCATCTCAAAAGAAGCATCGAGATATTGAGCAAATAGTAAGCAGAACTAAATGACTCCCATACTTTGCGTCATTACTCAGTAACACTTCAACTGTTTGAGTTGAAACTTTTACTAAAAATATAATATGGAATAAATAGTTATTTAACATAGTTTTTTGTAGGAAAATTGATGTAACCCATCGTTGTATACATGAATTATCCATTTATAGTATAAAAATGACTATCAATTTTTTCAGCAAGAGTGGATCGAGGTATTTCAATAATAGACTTATTTTTTTCCTCAAAACTTCTTCGTGAAATTCTGCACTACGTAATATATGATTGTAGGAAAACTAAGAATGACTCAAAAATGACTCTTATGCATTTTGATTGTTTCTTTTCTATTCAATTTACTCGATGAATATATTTCATTTCTGATAAATATTTCATTCCGGATGCAATACCACATAACATACGTGTTAATTGTAATGCATCAAGACATTTATTTCCTTCATTTGCCTAAAATAATTTATATAAATAACATAATAATTTAATTTAGTTTGGTCTTTTTTTTTTAAATTTACTCGAAGATAAGTATCTAATGAACCATTTTCCATATATTCAGTTACAATCATAATTGGATGATGTTTTGTAACAACACCTTCCAAATAAATAACATTTTCATTATCAAATTGTCCCATAATACTCGCTTCAGATAAAAAATCTAAACGAGTTTTATCTGTTGCACCTTGTTTTAATGTTTTTATTGCTACAAGAATATCTTTCATCATATTTGTTGTACGTAATTTGCCACGACAGACATCACCAAATTCTCCTATTTTTATTGAAGAACAAAAAAAGAACTTGATGATGATCATGCAATTAACACACACACACACACATACACACGATATCTTTTCCTTGCTTTTTAATGATCTACGATAGGATAATAGAGGCTCATGAAACGATGTCTTGATTCATTAGTATCAAATGGAATTCTTAATTTCTCTTACATAAAAATGATGAATATTGTTACGTAAGAAATAGAGACTTTTTACTTGCATGCATATAGATATATATATATGATTATGTACGTACCTCCACCAATGACGGATTCAATGACAATTAAATTTGGATCAAGTTCACGTGCAAAATCCTTGACTGCTTTAGTTGGATCTTCATACTAAATATAGATATATATATGATAGAATTGACTTTATAGTTAATAATAAAAAAACAGACTGTATGAGGATCAATATAAGTCTTAGCTGTTGTTGTAATTGAAGGCCATAATGGAGCTGTCCCTGAAATATGGAGAGAGCACTTATAGATCAAACTCAAAATGTTTATCCTTCTTGATCGTGCAGAAAAGATGAACAAATTAACTGTTCAATCAATTTATCTTCATCATCTGTCCTTACAGTAAAATGTCAATGAATACTTACAGCCTGAATTGAAGAATGCATCAGGTCCATAATGACCACTTACTAGAAATGAAACGAGAAAGATAAATGAAATACATATACATAGTCTACAGAGCATTAGGCAATCTAATCTCTTATATTTAAGTTTATTAGATTATTGGTAGAATATAACATCATTGATCGATAAGTATTTATAATAGGTCATATCTCATTTTTTTTAGGCTCTATACTGACCTTGTCGTTTTTGATAATCTAATGATTCACAGTCACTTGCTGTTTTTAATTGACATAAATGTGTTCTATGAACAAATTAAAAAGAAAACCTAAATTTACTTAATTTATCATTTAATTCAATCTTACTTTTTAAAATAAATAAATGCTAAAATAATAACAATAATTATTAATACAAGAATAATTAATGGACCAAATATAAGAATATGTTTATTTGTTGTTAGATCTGATGTTAAAGATTTATCAACTGTTATTGAATGTAATGAAATTAATTTTTCTTGTGTATAAAAAGTCCAACCAAGTTTATTATGAGCTCGTATTTGAAATTTATAATTATCAGTTGTTGTTATTAATGTAAAATTATTTACTAAAAGTGTTACAAGAATTTTTTTATTTTCATCAATTAATGACCAATAACGTATTTGATATTGATCAAAATCATTTGATAACCATGTTATGACAATTGTATCAAATGTTATTCGTCGAATATTTATATCACGAATTTGTTGAGATACTTGGAAAAAAAATTTTTTTTTTTTTTTTTTTTTTGAAAAAGAAAATTTTCTTTTCCTACTTGGTCGTTTTGTTGTAAACGATAAATCAATAGGTTTACTAAATAAATGTGTTGATATGTGTTCAGAAAATAATTTTATCTTATAATTTGTACGATCATCAAGACCCGAAATTCTTACACTATGTCAAAATACAAGCTTTCTTTTTAAAAAAAAAAGAAAATAGTGTTTGTCAGTACCTTGAACCATTTATAAATGTTCGATTTGGCTCATAGGTTATATATGATTCACATGGTATGAAATGACTACATTCAATATGATAAACATTACCATATGATTGTTTCCAAGAGATTCGAACTGAATTTTGATCAATATTGTCTATTGTTACATTTTCTGGCTGATTTGGACTTTCTATTGATTTAAATAAATAATTCAAAATTTATATGAATAGATTTATGAGTATTTACCGATACATGCTGAATTAAATATTGATGAATTCAAACGAAAAAAGCCATCACTACAAATGCATAATGATGAACCTTTACTTGTTGTATGGCTATTCAATGGACATTGTTCACAACGATCATTATTACTTATTGTTAATTTATATGTACCTATTGGACAAACTGAAAAACACAACAAGGAAATAAAAATCTATACTACATAGTTTTAGTAAATGAAGATGATATAATAAAAGCATTACACCATGTATAATGATACATGAAAAAAAGTGTGCAATAGGAGAGTTGAACGTAAGGAAAAAAAAACCGATTGTTTCTATTCATCTGTAAAATGAATAAAAGACAGGCTAATTTAATTATAAGAATTGAAACACAATGACATGCATTGTATGAGAAAGCGTACAAGGTCATCAATACAATAACATAAATGCTTTTCTCAAGGGTACAAGAGACATCATTTTGATGATTTACAACTATCTATTATATCGAACGAATCAATCAAAACGATTATCTGAACGTAGTTGATTAGTTCTAATCGAGTAATTTCTTTACATACCCTTACAAATGGCACGAGATAAAAGACTATTATTCTTCGAATTATTATCAATAAGTAGTTCATAACCCTGTTGACAATTACAACTATCATGTAATGATGTTTCTTGAAATGTCCATTCACCATTGCCTTTACAAAATCCTATAGGTTTTTGAATTATTTTAGAATTCATTGTACATATACCATGACGTTCAATAATATCTGTTAAATGTGATCCAGTTGGTGTTTCGGGAAAATGTATAAGACCAACAGATATATCTTGACATAAACGATAAAAAATTTTAACATATAATAATGATATACATGCACCTTGATCACGAAATGCAATATAAAAACCATTTTTATTTACAGATATACCACGAGTTTTAACATTAACTGTTAAATTATTTCCATGTGATGATGTTTGACTACCATAAGTATTCGATGTAAAACGATTTCCAGCAATAATATCAACTAATTTATATGATGATGATAAAAATTCATTTTCTTCATTATCATTTTCATGTATATAAAGTTCAAATGTTTCACGACATGAACGTATTTCATTTGGTGTTTGAAATGTTGAACAATCACGTATAGAAAATCCAAGTTCAATTTCAATACGTTGTGCTTGTTGACGTCTTAAATATGGTGAACGTAACCAATTATCAACACGACGTTCCGATGTGATATCACATACATATTGTGTACGCCATAATGTTGATGATGATGTTGATAATAATAATGTTGGATACATTTTAGCTTCGAAACTTAATTCACCCCAACCATCATTGAAATATCCATGTGTTGAAATTTTATACCAATTTAAATAATCACGAGCTTCACGAGTATCGCATAAAACAGCTAATAGATCAAAAAGAAAAAAAATATATATACATATATAAATTTAGTTTGCTAGAAGACATCGGTTATTTTTTGTTTTTTTTTTAAATTACCTTCTTTTGCTGAATGCACAAATGGATAAATGAAACAAATCAAAATAAATAATAACTTATCAATCATTGTATATTGTTACCGACTAGAAAGAAGATGAGACGATTATGTTCGTTATATTGCTACGTTCTTTCTCTCTATACTGATTTTTGAGCTTTCTTGTTCCTCTTAATCTTCTTTCTATGCACACACGATGCCATAGAATAGACATCATCATCGAATTTCCTTTCTCTGTCTCTCTTTCTCTCTGTCTCTCATAATACCGCTCTGAGCAATAGCATTTATAGAAATAGAAGAAAAAAAAGAAAAAGACAGACAGAAGGTGACCGACGTCCGAGTGCGTACAAATATATACAAACGACTGCATGCATAGACACAATGATTTAAATGTCAAAAGTATTTTAAACGATTCTCAGTTTAGGGAAAATAAGATGATGTCTGATGATGTATTAGCCTTTTATGTAAAGTCTTAGATAGATAAAAAGTGTAATAAAAAAAAATTCTCTATGAAAGAAAACTAACATTTATCAATCTATTCATAAATCGTTGCACTATCTCAATAAAAATGACGATGACGTTTAGCTTAATTTTATTTTCATATACTCGACGAATCTCGAGGTCATTCACGCGATTGCCTGCCTTCCTCTTTTTTTTTTCTTTCTTGGCGTACGTTTATCAATCAGGCTTAAGGGGCTTTGGACGATTTCTTATACAGACGAGACGATTATTTATTGCACAATTAGTATGGTTGATTATAACAGTTCTTTTTTTTTTCCTTGTTACTGTTTCTGATCGTGATGATAGCTTGTTGTTTTTCTCAAAGAAAAGTTTTATATGCCAAATGATCTCATTCATCGATTCTCCCATATAAAGAGCGTGAAGACAGATTTGTTTTTTTCTTTTATTATCAAGCATGATGCAGTCACCGATTACGGCATGATCATTCTCAAGAAAGAATCAATTTTCGATCTATAAGAATGAGAAGAAGACGAATAAAGAGAATTGAAATAACGACGAAAGATGACCAATGAAGTGCATGAACATCAAAAAAGTTCTTTCACGAATACACTCGATTACCTTCTTCTTTTGTAATATGTGCCACAATTACCTTCGTTAGAATATGATTGAACAAACAATTGTCATGCACAATTTTTAATTGTTGTCATCGTCGTTATTAATCAATAATGATTACATAACTTTCTCTACAAGATATAACATAATACAAATACATCTGTTCTGATAAAGGAAATGAGAAAAAAAAATTTGTTTCTTTAACTTTCTTCTTTTAACTTGTACAATGTTTGTCAAATCATTTTGTTATGATGCTAAACAATTCATTCATATTTTATACTATCGGATAGCCATCTGATTCATTCAGATTGTAACATTTATTCAATGATTAAATATCCGACTTGAACATTATTCATTGAACAATGTCTCTCTGTAAGATGAAGTATGAAAATGGAAGGAAGTCTTGTACATACTTCTTCTGTATACATTTAGACAAATATTGAAGGATATGTAAATGTTTGCTATATATACCGGTACAAGTATTCAGAATACATACTATTTCGATTTGTATAGACAAGGTCAAACAACAATCAAGCAAGTGCAAGTTAAGATGATGAACAAACATGCATTGTTAATCGAACAAAAATATATTTTAAAAGCAAAGCATGTTCTGTAACATAGTGCATTTCCTTTTTCCTATCGTTTTAAGTTATAATAGATTGAATGCAATCATGTGGAAGTGAAATGTTCACGCATATAGAATACACTGAATGTCTATCAATTGAAACAACTATCATTGAGTTTTAATTTTCTTTTTCTTTTTCTACCATTGAGAAATTTGATAATATACACAGATAAGAATGTTGTATTCATATGCATCATACGTTCATGTTCTCATATGATCGTCGGCAAAGCTGAATGAGAGGCGGGAATGGATGCATTATAGTAACATGCGAAGATAGACATAGTAAGAGGATCAATGAAAGTAGCTCGATGTATGAATAAATATTAAGCTGTGAGCCTTGTCGTCACCCACACTGTCGATTCTACGATGCAGTCATTTTTCTTTTTCTTTTCCTTCCCTTTCTCGATTCTGCTATGCGGACATTTTTTCATAATTGACCAAAAAAAGTAGCCTATTTTCTTTGATTCAAATTAAAATTTGATTTTTTCCTTTCCGTTTCGATTGATTCATTTGAATTATTAATGATAGGAAAGGTGAGAAAACCTTAAAATGTACATGTCATATGTCTACATGACTTTTAATTTTCATATTAATGAAAATTTTTTCTTAGAGTTATTTATATTGGTAATTTTAATATTAAAAAAGTGTAATAAGACTTTATTTACATTACACAATAGTTGCTTACCAAAAAAAAACAAAAAGATAGATTCATTGACCAAGCTTAGAGTATTAATAATTTAATACGATTGAAGAGATAGAAGCAGGTGACATGAGCAAACCCATATGCGATTGAAAGTAAAATGGGAATTGCCATCAGTCATATTCTGTTAAATTAAAATTCACACTTGAATTGAAATAAAAAAACCAATTAATACTATCAAGATTATCATTATCATATTGAGTAAATGCAAAAAGTACATTATATGATAATCAAAAATTGAAGAGCTTTTTTCGAAAAGCTATGAAGCCTTTCCAATAGAATCTCATTGTCTTTCATGTATAGAAGCATGTTTTAATCAAATAAAAACAAAAAGAGAAAAGCAAATGCTGTGCAACGTCTGATTCGAAACAAGACTCTTCAAGCATTGACGATGGCGATTAGATGAAAAGATAACAATAACATATTCAATTGCTTGCCTACTATTGTTCGGAATGAACAATGTTGTTTTTTTTTTAGGTATTGAGACAGACAGACAGACATACTTATCATGATAGTTATATTCATATGACACCTAAGAAGATTCTATGAAAAAAAAAAATTGTTCACATGAGTGTACTGATGTTTTTTTCAATTTTATGATCATTTTAACGTTTTACATGTGACGTTTCAAAACTTATTTATAGCGAATGTAATTGTTTTTTTCTATTACTATGAATTTGTTTAAAGAAAAAAGTTAGACCTGAGTCAAAGCATTCACTGTTCTATACAAATATAATAATAGTAAACCGATAGACTATTTCAACGTCTGAAATGTTTTAGTGATGAGAATAATAATAAAATCATTCGAAATTAAATAATAGCACTGTAATACGATGAATTTATAATAATATTATTTTATTTAACGTACATGAACAATTTTTTTGATAACTACCAAAATAATGATATGAAAAAAAAACATAGAATATTACTTAAATTATAAAAATATTTCAACTATAACATTTAACATACATACTTATCCATAAACAGTATTTAGAAGTTGAAATTCAATTTGCATCTGTATGAATTAATTTAAAACATTTTTCTCTGTAAATTAAATGAAAATATATGATCACATAAAGAATACCTATGAAAAACTATATTTCGAGTTTTTGAAAAGAAGTTTTTCCTGGAAATAATCGAAAAAAAAAATAATCCTGATTAAAATCGTCTATTATCACAGATATGTAATTTTCACTCAGTAGAACATTCCAAGAATTATTTCCTGATTGTGAAAACAAAAATGAACAACAAAAAATCTTACGTACAAAGGATTTTCTTGGTTAATTTTGTCTTCAAAGTGAGGAAATAACCCTTATAATGGTTTACAAAGTGAAAATTACATATCTATGATTATGAACGACTCTAATCATGATAGTTAGCTTTTTTTTCACATATTTTCAGGAAAAACATTTCCTAAAATTGGAAAAGTAGTTTTTCATAATTAACTCCATGTATTCTATTCAACAACACTAAATAAATTGAAAATAAATATTTGCATAAATACATTAATTTTCAAACTTCATTTCTCAAATCTTTTTGATTACTAAATCTATTCGTGACATAGTAACTATGAGTTAATTGGACTATACATTAGAATACATTTATATCAAGAATCTTTCAGATTTAATGACAGATTTTATCTGACATGTTTATCATTTCCGAAGCTCTAAAGTACAATATGTTGAAAGTGGCGCCAAACTCGTATCATCTAGTTTGTGGGTGTAAATTAACGTTTGACATGTAGAGTAATACGATATTGTATCTTATCATGCCATCCAAAGTTGATGACGATATGAAAATCGAGTATTCGATCGTTCACTAGACAGTAAAATATGGCCTTAATATTGTACCTAACGAACAGTAAGAAAACCTTTTCAAACAATTGTTCACGGTCGTGCTGATTTGATTTGAAGAATTGCGAAAAAAAACTGCCTTGGTCAAACAAAATCGCATGCAGTCGGTTCGTGTATGCACTGTTTTGCGACGTTATTTAATTAGAATACGACATATATACGGCTCAAATAGTGTGTTGTACACAGCGAACAGAATCAAGGCCAAATACGACTGATTTTCGTATTGTATCTCTCTGTAGACGGTGAAAAAATGGCTTAATATGGTTTTATCCATCAAATATTTAATTTGATATTTGTAAAGTGACTGCATATAAAAATCAAATCGTTCTAGTGCCCTCAAAAATTAGAGAAGAAAAAAAATCAAGGATTTTTTATTTATTTTTTTCGAGTCGATTCCATAGATGTCTTATGCACCGTTTCCAATACAATCAAGAAATAATTTGAACAACTTAATAATACCGTTAAAAATACGAAGAGTTTATAAAAATAGTTTTGGTTCTCAAAGGTTTCTGAGATTTGTAGCAAAATATTTTTTACAGCCCATTCATTTATATGAAATTGTTACAAGTTCTGTATTACCCATTTTTTCGAAAAAACCAGTTGAAGTAATATTAACTGTACTGTATAGACGATCAGAATATAAAGTGTTCTTCCATTTCATTTGAATATTTATTTTAAAAAGAAGACCTACACTATTTTAAAAGTTAACCATCATCGTCTAATGTAAAAAGAATCTTCATCACTTGAAATAACACCATATAAAGCTTCATCGCTGCTACTATAATCGTCACTACTTCCATCATCACCTTTTTTTTTTCTT